TGAGGAGTCCTGGAACCAATCCTTCATGGATACCAAGGGATGACTATATTTCCGGGCAATGTCAACTTAAGTAATTTCACTTCTGTACCTGTTTCCTCGTCCGAAAAATGAGGATAATAACACCTGAGTTGATAGGATTACTGTGGGAAATACATAAGATAAATACAGGTGAAGTCCTTGGCACAGTAGCTGATACACAGTAAATTAAAAATAAATGTTATTAATTTTGCTCAGAATAAATGATTCTCAACTTCTATCAAGCTATATGTTTTAGAAGCTTTTCCATTTGAAATTGTTTGTATTCAGTACAATCTGTAGTCTGTCTAAATTCTATGTATACCCCACCCCAAACAGATCTCTTTTAGCAGATATTACACAGGAACCAAGTTGCTCCATCTTTCTCCATTAAGTCCCATGTATTAACTTTTTAAAACTTCACATAGTTACTCTTACTCCAAAAAAGTTCTCATGTTCCAGGGCACCCTTTCCCAAATAGATTCATTTTCTCTTGCATTTTTAAATTTGAATACAAAAGAAGTATCTGAACACTTGTCAAAATGTATGAGTACAAAATCCATTCATAAGACAACTTCAATCCAAAAGAGTTCTAGGTGAACAGCCTACACTCAGACACTGCAAATAATCGCAAAGAATATATGTTATAAATTATATTCATATTTATGTAGGCTAGTGCCTATCTGGCTATCACTAATGAAGCTATTAAAAAAAATACTGCGTAATGCTCCCTGTTTTCCGGATAATCACTCACCTCTAAATATGTATTTATTTATCTACAAGATAAGCATTTACCTGCTACATGCAAGCCATTACATTAGGTGCCATGAAGTACCTAGTAAACAAAGAAAGAAAGAAAGAAAGAAAGAAAGAAAAATGTGGTGGTTGTGTCCTCAAAAAGCTTGTGACTTCACTGCTGATATATTGGTCCATGTGCTAAAACCTCCTCACTTGCAAAGATGTGTGTATACGAAATAGAGTCAGCATATAGGTTGTAATGCTTAGGTAACCAACAATCCAAACACCTTTGTGGCTTACAGTGAAGGTTTATTTTTCACTCAATTTATATTTTACAAAATCTTGCAACAAGAATCATTTTCCGCTTTGCACTATGTAGTCTACATCCCAAGATCTGGGCTAAAAGAGCAGATCCCATCTGAAGTATGCCTACTTCACATCAGAGGGAAAAGCAATATGACAAAACACAGGACAGCTCTCAAAGCTTCTGTCTGACATGATATATCATTTCCACTAACATTTCACTGGATAAAGCAAGTCAATGGGCCAATGGTTTCTGGATATGTAATCCTGTTAGAGATAATGGTAATGAATACTTTAAGCAATAATACCATCTATCACAGTAGTTATGACCACGATTAAAGAAACGAAAAATATTCAGGCTATTTGAACCAATAATAAAATTACCACTTATATAGTCTGGCTTACGTGCCAGACATTAAATATTAAATATTAAAATACTTCATTTTCCGGCTGGGTGCAGTGGCTCATGCCTGTAATCCCAACACTTTGGGAGGCCGAGGCAGGTGGATCACTTGAGGCCTGGTGTTCGAGACCAGTGTGAAATCCTGTCTGTACTAAAAATACAAAACTTAGCTGGATGCGGTAGTAGGTGGACTACAGTCCCAGCTACTTGTGAGGCTAAGGCAGGAGGATAACCTGAGCCTAGAAGGTGGAGGTTGCAGAAAGCCAAGATTGTACCACTGAACTGCAGCCTGAGCAACAGAATGACAGAATGAGACTATCTCAAATAATAATAATAATACTTTTTCTAACAAAAATTCAACAAAGATGCCTGCTACTGACAAAAACTAAGCATGGGCATTTGGAAAGATTAAAAGAAACAGAACAATAAACCTATTAGAAAGCATATTAGAAACCTTTCAAGCTCTCAAAATTTGGCTTGGATGCGTTACAAAGATAGCAAAAGTAGCTGTCCCTTGGAGAGGAATTTGTTTATTCAGTTTATCTGATGTAGAAGTGAACCTATTGGTCTTAAGTGTCCTAAATTTGGGCTGAGCCTATTTCCTAGCAAGGTATTAACATACACAAAATTCTTGTCAACCTTAAGGACTGCTACTAATTGGAGGTCCCAAGTCAATTCCCCAATGAATTGAAGACTCAATTTCATGCTAGTTTATTTAATGCTGAAAAAAGACATACAGCAACAGAACAAAGACACAGATAAGGGCATAAATAGGCCCCACAAACAGTTCCCATACACTCAGTCCCCACCAGTGATTAATTAACATCCTCTGGTGATTTAACACCCTAAAGACTTGTTTGAGGAAAACACAAGACCTAGTAAATATTGAGCAGTGAAGATACAGCACTAGGTGAGATAAGCATACATGAACACAAATAAAAGAATAAATAACATCCCTGCATCAAATATATTAAATGCTGCTATTTTGAAATAGAGTGCCATTTCATCTGGCTGATAAATCCATTTTGAATATGTTTACCCTGGAAAAATCCTTAGGAAAGTCAGGGAAAGTAAGGATAAATGTAGACAATGTAGGGCCAGGTGCAGTGGCTTGTGCCTGCAATCCCAGCCCTTTGGGAGGCCAAGGTGGGTGGATCGCCTGAGGTCGGGAGTTCAAGACCAGACTGGCTAACATGTTGAAATCCCATTTCTACTAAAAATACAAAACTTAGCTGGGCGTGGTGGGGGTTGCCTGTAATCCTAGCTACTCGGGAGGCTGAGGTGGGAGAGCTGCTTTAACCTGGGAGGCGGAGGTTGCAGTGAGCTGAGATTGCGCCTTTACACTCTAGACTGGGTGACAAGAGCGAAACTGCATTTCAAAAAAAAGTAGACAATTTAACCTGTTTTTTCCTTCCTCACATTCAGTACAAGGAAATGAGAAGCACATGAAAACTGAGAACAACTCTTAAGCACAAGCTCAATGAGTAACTAGATCAGCTGAATCACCCAAATAAATTTTTTCTTCCTCTTGTGTGTATATGTTGTTGCATTATTTTTGCTTTTTACTGATGATATACTATAACTGAATTCATATGTGACTGTAGCAGCTAACTGCATCCTTCCTTTTCTTCAGTTCCCTACTCCACTCCTTACCTTACTGATTCCACTTCCCATATTTTATTCAAGTGATCTGAAATATTACATGATTTGCAAATGTTTTTCTAAGCACAATAAAATGAATTTTAGACGTAGATTTCCCCATTAATTCGTTCTTTCTACTCACCTTTTTCAGATCCTCATTACTATCAAATCATAATGGGAAAAGAATGCTTAAGGAGACAGTATGTAACGGAGAGGTCTAAAAATTTCCATCAAATTAAGATGAACATGGCACGGTCTTGGGGTAAAAATGTGGCACAGAAAACAAATAAATGTGTTAATTTGTATTTTAAAAATGACTTCCTTTGCTGTTATGCTTTTTAAAGTTTTTTAAAATTTTATGATTATACAATTTATTTTCAAATCTCAAGCAAAAACTCTTAAGTTTGGATGTGCAGTAATAATTATCATCAGAGTTCTCAAAATCTAATGTCATCTTAACTTCAATTACTATAATTGCTGGCAAAATGGCTGTGACTTAAACTTAGAGCCACGTTTTGCTTAGCCATAAACCAGTGGCCCCTTCAAGCTTGTTTTCAGTTCTGGGGCTACCATGAGTACCTTATTATCTGGGAATGCACAATTAATCCCTATAATGTGTACGGGGGAATTGGTCACCGCTATATGAGCTCTAAGTTAACCAGTGAAGTATTTTACATTAGAAAAATACTTTCCACATATGGAACACTTAATTACAAACATCATTTGCCTTTTCCCAATCTTAGCACCTTATTTTTGAGTGACTCTATTTTATGTATTTAGTAATCGTTTTACTAATGCCTTCGAGCCTTTTCATAAGCCACGGACCCTACTGGGACACTCTCTTGTTTCTCACCCAACACCCACTATTTGAAAACCCTTAATAAAATTCATCCTTAAAAATTCTTCCTAATTAACTCATCCTAATTCTCTGCATTCCATTTATATTTATTTAACATTACATCAATTAGCATTCTATTAGAACTTCTTTTCAACTTTTAACCATTTGCATCCCTTCTACCCCCTTCAAATCTCTCCATCCAGTTTTTCCGTTCTTTGTTCCAATGTGTGTATTTATGTATAGTATTAGTACTACAATAAAAAAACTCAAGAAAATTCTAAAAAATAGAAAATGGAAGATTAAGTAATCCAGCAGGAAAAAAAATCATCAGAAAAATGCTTCAAGGAAAAAACAGTAACAACTCAATCAACTGACAAATGAATCTGACAATACTTTGGAAAAGTACTTTAGGTTCTCAAGAATGCAAAGAGCCCTCAGCAACTGAATTCAATCCCTGAATCACTGTGAGGCTTTTACAAAACTGTTGATGTAAAACCTCCGAGCATTACCATCAGCCTTTTAAAACTCACTTGCCAATATTATTAGCAGTGCTATTTTTACCAACACTGAATTCCAAACAAGTTTTCTTCCCAAGCAGACTAATGAACAAAAAAAATCTCCAAATTAAAAGCACTTAAAACCATGTAACGAATACAGTGATTTAACCCTTCTGTAAGGATTGTTGTGGTGGGCAAACAGGTGACAAACGGAAGGGATGCAGAAAGTGGAGACAGAAATCATTGAGACTCCTCCCCTTCTCTGAGGGCTAAGGTTGTTTGCAGCTCCGCAGGCAAACCCTCCCTACAGACCCTCTCCCTCAGCCACATGCTAAAAGCCTCCAGAAAACCACAGGTCCTCCTCCCCAGCCTCGCACTCAGGCCCTCACTCGCCCGGCCAGCGCCGGTGGATAGCAGACAGTCTCTAGTCCACCCGACCCCTCCCGAGAAAAGGGTCAGCAGAGGACGCTTTCCCCGAGGCCTCCTCCGGGACTCAGCCAGCAGGGACTCCGCAAAAATGGAGGGACCGAAGAAGCTTGAAGAAGAAGTGTGACAATTCTGTTACCTGGTCGGAACCTTGGAAACGGAAAGGGCAGCCACAGCCACTGCCCTTTTCCACCACAACGCCTGCTTCAGCGCCACTGACATTGAGACCGCCGCCATCTTGCTGCAGGCAAACACCAGGATGTGAGGACGGATCACCGCAAGGGACTAACTTCCTTCGTTCTCAAGCCAGTGCAATCGCAATGTAGCGAAACTCTGTGGGATTTTCCTTTTAATGCTGGGGCTTAAAAAAGAGGAGAAACGTTTAGTTGAAAGAATTAAGACGAAAAATGTATAGGAAGAAATGCAAAAGTGCATTAAATGTAACTATTACCACCATAAAGTGTAATCTTTACTGGTTGTTAGGACTGGTGTTTTGCAATGATAATGAAAAGACGAAAAGAAGGTGCTTGCAAATTTAAACACCTGCAACTCGTAATTTCTTGAAGAAATTAGAATATTTGGGGCTGAGCCCACTGGAAAAGCCGGAGAGCTTTTTGGGTCCTTAAGAACATAGAGTAGTACTTTTCCAAAGTATTGCCAAATTCACTTTGCAAGATCTCAAGACAGGGTTGTATTCATTTTGATGTTCTGTAGTTGTGATGTTCACATTTTCCAAACGAAGAATCTGGATACATGATCTGACAATGGATTATTTTTTGACATGTAAATTTATACGAAGAATCAATAGAACATAATATTTGCTGTCACTGTTTCCCCCAGTAAATCCTGAATGTGTGTGTGTTCATAATCCATAGACACAAAGAATGATATTAAAGCTCCATGCATGTAAAACAAAAATTATCTTCCAATACACGTGTTGGAAACATGTTTGTATTGCGGACTTCTGACCTTAAAGAACAATGATTAACTGAGTTATATAAAATAAAAAGCAGGTTAGTTTTGGGTTTTGTTTTTTAAGACATTTGTTTAACGAGTTAGTACCTTCCTGCCTTTTTAAGCACATGAAAACATAATCTTCATTTAAATAAATAGGAACAATGGGAGGATGGGCAATGACTTAGTTTGGCATTATGGAGCATTAAAGGAAAATCTAGTACATAAGGGAAAGGGGGAGAGAAGGAGAGAAAAAGTCATACTCGGGGAAAGAGAAATGCACAAGACAAAGGAAGGCAAGGGAGAGATGCCTCAGAGAAAATTTTATTTTAAACTTTTCATTTTGAAATAATTATAGATTTACATGAAGTTACAGAGATAGTACAGAGATGTCTTGTGTACCTGTTTCCTCCATTGATTACATCTCTTATAACTTTAGTACAATATCAAAGTCAGGAAACTGGCATTGATATAAAGTATTTGTATTGTCCTGTGTCATTCTATTACATATTTGTGTAAACACCACCAAGATCAAGATACAGAACTATTCCACCCTCACAAAGATCTCCCTGATGCTACCCTTTTTGGTAACACTTGCCCTCCTAACCCTAGTGATCTCTACACTGTTTCCATTTTTATAATTTTGACATTTTGAGAGGTTATATAAATGGACTCATGCTGTATGTGACCTTCTGAGATTTGCTTCTTTCACTTAGATCCAACCACTTGAGATCCAACCAAGTTGTTGTGTGTATCAATAGTTCATTCCTTTTTATTGCTGAGTAATATTCCATGGTATGGATGTACCACAATTTAACCATTCACCTATTGCAGAACATTTTGGTTGTTTCCCATTTTGGGCTATTACAAATAAAACTGCTGTGAACAATTGAATATGTTTTTATGTCGACAAAAATCTTCATTTCTCTGAGATAAATGCCCAAACGTGCAATTGCCAGGTCATATGATACATGTATGTTTCATTTTTTAAAGAAATTAAGGACTATTTTCCAGAGTAACTAACATTTTACATTCCTGCCAGCACTATATGAGAGATCCAGTTTCTCCAAACCTCACCAGCATTTTCTGTTATTGCTATTTTTATTTATAATAGCATTTTCTATTATTGCAATTATTTTCTATTATTACTATTTTTATTTCAGCTGAGCTAAAGTAAATAATGAGTGCATAGTAATACCTCATCACGGTTTCAATTTACATTCATTCCCCTAATGCCTAATAATGTTGAATATCTTTTCATGTTTTTATCTGCCATCTGTATATTCCATTCAGTTAAATATCTTATGTCTTTTGCCCATTATCTAATTACCATTATTTTTTTTCTATAATATTTTGAGAGTACTTTATATACTAGGTGTGTCTTTTACCAGATACATGATTCACAAATATTTTCCAATCTGTACTTTGTATTTTCATTCTCTTAACAGGATCCGCCACAGAACAAATATTTTTAATTTTGATAAAGTCCAGTTTATTCATTTTTTAAATTTATGGATTGTGCTTTTGGTGTCATGTCTAAGAACTATTCTCCAATCCTATGTCCTAACAATTTTATCTTGTTTTCTTTCAAAGGATGTTTTAGTTTTACCTTTTACATTTAAGTCTATGGCTCATTTTGAGTTAATTTTTGTGAGTTAAGTTTTCCATTAATAGGTATGAGGTTTAGGTTTAGGTTTTTGCTTGTGGCAATTCCATTGCTCTAGCACGATTTATTGAAAAGCTTATCCTTCTTTCATGGAGTCCCTTTTGCTCCTTTGTCAAAATGTCAGTTGGCCATACTTGTGTGTAGCTTTTTCTGGGTTTTCTATTTCAGAGAGAAATTTTAAGCCCAAGGGTGGCTTTGGTGTTTAGGTTAAGTTTAATAAAAATTTTCTATGCCAAGGAGTAACAGGATGTGTCCCAGTGTTTATAGAGCAACTTACTATAGCCCTGCTACTGGCCCTATCAACCAAAGCTCAACCTCTCCACCTCCCACCTATTCTGGTCCTGTGCTTCCATGGATCTGAATTCCCCAGGAAAGCATCCAGTCTCTAGTCTCTTTGTCTTTCAAACAGTCTGTAATCCAACATCAGCACTGCCAGCACTCCAGTGGATTCTTTGATTCTTTTCACCTTCTGCTGGATTCCCTCCATTGCCCATTCCTGAGGTCCTTTCTGACCTTATATACAGGATATAGGCTTAAGAATGGAACAGAAATAACCTGATATATGCATTTATTTATTTATACTATTTCACCTATAATAGGCTGTACTATTAAACTTACTAGAATGTCTAGGTCCAAATACTATTTTGTTGTTTCAATGTGCTGCTCTAGAGCCTTTCACAGGGTGTTGACTAGTGGAGTCCATCTCTTAGCCTCTTCTCTAGTCATCTTCCTTGCCCTTCAGATCACAGCTGTGGTCACAACCTTCAGAGTCACTCCCCATGGTAGAAACTGTGTCCTACAGGCATTTTTCACCTCTAACATCCTTGCTGAGAGATCCTGACTTCTACGATAGAGACTATGATTGCTATATGTTGGCTTTCCCATGAGCTCCTATGGCTAGCACATGAACATGTCCAAAGACAATGGGATCTGAAATCCCTTTTAAGAAAGAAGACTTCTGAAAAAAAAAAAAAAAAAAAAAAAAAAAAAAAAAAAAAAGAGACATACAAGAAGAAATATCTCTTTTCTGGCCTCTGAATGCAGTTCTATGAGGACATAATGCCTAGAATTGTGACATCTTCTGAACTTGAGGAGACAAGCATAAGAAGGGGTGGAGGAATAGAGAGCAGGAAAGAGCCCAGGGCTTTGTTGACATCATTGAGCCAATCCTGAAACAACTTCTAAACCAACCCTGACTAAAATACCTCCAAATTTCGTGTTGCATGAGATAGTAAAATGACTGAATTGTTTAAACCTCTATTAGTTAGTGTCCAAAACCTCTTGTTCTGCAAGATGTTTCACATACAATCACTATAGACAAGATGTTTTGGATGTTCCATATCCAAAAACATCTTTTCTGATGACGCTGTTTTGTGAAAAGTACTTCTCTGACTTCCCTTTATGTCAACTCTTTTTGTAGACACTCCTAGCATCATATCTTCCTTCTTCATACCACCTCTCATGCCTCAGTTTTAACACACTATCATCGTCACTTTCTCTACAATGTAAATTTGAAGACAAGGATCATATCTGATTTTGATATTATTTACCCGACATATAGCCTAGTCCCTCACATACAGTAGACCCCAAACGATGTATACAATAAGTGAATGAAAGTAACTGCAACTTTTAAAATGTCAAAAAACGAAAAAAAAATGTGCTATCTCTATTTGCTATTTTTGCTTAGGAAAAACTCATACAAATTAATATGATTTTTCTCTTGGGGGTACAGATCTTATTGGTTTCTAAAATTTCATCTTTGATCAGGTGTCATTTCCTGAAGAACTCAGTGGGATATTGGGGATAGGAGCTCCATGTTGCTGGCAAGAGACCCAAAAACATAAATTTACCTTTTACCAGGCTTGCATTAAAAAAATTTAATAACTTATTTCATTTCCTTATTTCTCACATTTCAAATACAGGATATAGACCTGAGAATGGAACAGAAATAATTTGCTGTGTGCATTTTTTTTTTTACAACTTCAACCAAACTATACATTCTACCAGTAAGCATAGTAGAATGCCTATGTCCAAATACCATTTTATTATTTCAAATAGGAGCATTAGAATGTAAATTGACTTTACTTTTTGCTTGCACTTCATCCATGATGGGAAAAGAAACATTTATCTTAGACTTTCTGATGGCATGTGAAAGTTACAGTGGACCCAAAGTTATCTGTTTTTAATTTTTCTCCTTGTACATGGGTCTTTGGTAAAGCATCGAGAAAAAAATAAAGTAGAACCAGACATTTCTCTCAGAAGTTTAACATACAATTACTGTAGACATGACAAAATTCCACCATCACTTATTGACTACAAACTAATTTTTTAAATCACGTCTCATTTTTCACTGCCAATTTATTTGAAAAACTTAATTCTTGTCATCTTATAAAATTGTCATGACATCTAGCAGGGCGGCTGAGACTTCGGCAACAAATGAAAGAATTTCTACCTATATTGAAGAACTGCTGCTTGAAATTATTTTTGGAAAACAAGAGGTACAAATAATCAAATTCCTAAGAACTCAAGGAATTGTCCCATATAAATTTCAGAACATGCTCCATCACCCTCTGGAGTTTCAGCCCTAAATTTTCAACTGAATGTAGGTCATTCTCAAACTTAACATGTAGAAAACCAAGCTAATT